AATACTATTATTATAGAAGCGCAGTAATTTTTACAACTGTTCTTTCATAAATATAATGATCATCTGAGCGCATTCTGAGCGGTGGTTTTTCCGGCAAGGATAAAGACAATGAAATGAAACTTTATATTTCATGGTCGGTAAAATGTTTACCACTTGAAATAAATAAGCAAATTTCAATGTTACTCTTAATATTGCTGATACCTGCAATAATTTTTTTTAAGAAATTGATTGTTTTTGTCGGGGCGTTTGCGGAAAGAAACAACGCCAGAATATGATATGCACATTTATGAATTGCATGTAATCGTTTTGATCAAATCATTTATAATAAAAAAACTGCACAGCTATGTTGTGCAAATATTTTTGACGTTATAGTTGCACAACGTCACGCTAAATAGTAGCGTTTCAATTTTAATCGCCTGTCAAATAAACTGGAAATTTCTTATTTACTAAATTTATTGAACTTTTTCTCAAAACATTATTTTCTAACTCATTAAATAAATTCAATATAGAACCTACATTCATTCATTATTCTCTGTTATGATTTTTTCTTTCAGTGAGCGACCGGATTGAATAAACACAGGCACATCTCATCTGGGTGTAACTAGTCGCAATCACTTTTCTTTTTTGTTTATGTTTGACAAAGTCATGGTTCAAATATAAAGATTTCCTTATCAGAAATTTGTTAAAATGATTCTAGACTTTTTCTTTGGAAAAGAAAATATGATAAGGGGATAGCACCTGAATTATCACACAACACTAGCAAAATTTAATGTGAAGACAACAATACACAAATGTTTCCTGAAAGTGGAGGCTTTTCTTTCCATTCTGCATTTATACAAAAATATTCTCAAACTATACACGTGTTTTAATTGGTATATCAACAATGAATATCTATAATGCCACCAGCTAGAAAGATACTTATACCCGATGGTGCAGCATTGTTCAATTATAAGTCCCCTACCGGTTTAACCGAAGGGGACTTTAGGTTTACCCTCCATCCGTCTGTCCATCTGTCTGTCCGTCTGTCTGTCAGTCCGTCCGCCCACAAAACTGGATCCCGCGATAACGCAAAAAGTACTGAAAATATTTTTATAAAACTTGATAATATTATATGGATAGATGGCAGTATGGGGATTGTGCACATCTTTTTCTTTTCTTCCTATATTGAAAATTCTGGTTGCTTATAATGGCAACAAATAGTCTGAAAATATGGCAAATTTAACACATAAACTGGATCCAGTGATAACTCAAAAAGTACTGAAAATATTTTTATGAAACTTGAAATACGGGTAGATGGCAGTCTGCAGATTATGCACATCTTTTTCTTTTCTTCCTCTGTTGAAAATTCTGGTTGCTATGGCAACAAATAGCCTGAATTTCTGATTTAAAATTTTCAGCTTTTTCACTATAAATTCTTTATTTCTTAAGGTGTTTACTTCAAACTTTAAATATAAGTTCTGGTCATCAACCACATCATAATGTGACAAGGTTTACAACTCTAGCACAAAAATTATCAGTATTACCTCCCTTGAACTTAGAATTTTCATGAAAAAAAATGTTGTCTTTTTTTAAATAACTTCTTTATTTCCTAATGTATCTACTTCAAACTTCATTTATATGTTTCTTATTATCACTCAACATTTTTGAGAAGGTTAAATACTCTAGCAAGACTATTTCCAGAATTATGTCCCCCTTGAACTTAGACGTTTTTTCGAGAAATTGGTATTTTTAACTCCAACTTCTTCATTCCTTATAGGATTTACTTTAAAATCCCACATTGTAATAATAAGACAAGGTTGTATAAACATAATTTCCTTACTAGGCAGGGAAACTTAACACATTACTGTGAAATAGACAAACTTAGAACTCAAAATTAACACATTACTGTGAAATAGACAAACTTAGAACTCCAAAGATTTCATGTCATTCATTCACTGGTAAAATTGAAAATTTTAATCAGAATGTTGCTGGGGTTCTAACCGGTAGGGGACTTATGGATTGCTTGCAATACTATGATAATTGCTTGTTGTCCCCCGCCTTTTCGAAGAAAAAAGGGGGATATAGAAATAGACTCCGTCCGTCTGTCCGTCTGTCCGTCCGTCCGAGCCAACATTTGATTATTATGAGCTTCATTCCGTAGTTAAATAAAGAACATAAACTCATAAAATTTAAAATTAAGAGCTATTTTTTGTTTTTATGAGCTTATTTTGCTTATGGACGTTGGTCCAGGTGGTGTTTATGAGCTCATTTGCCTCATAAACATCAAATTTTGGTACGTCCGTCTGTCCGTCCGTCACACTTTCGTGTCCGGTCCATAACTTTGTCATTTATGAAAGGAATTTGAAATAACTTGGCACAAATGTTTATTATAATAAGACGATGTGTCATGCGCAACAACCAGACCCCTACCTCCAGGGTCAAGGTCACACTTGCTCATTCAAGGTCAAAATTGCCTATTTGAGGGTATATGTCGTGTCCGGTCCATAACTTTCTTATCTATGAAGGGATTTTGTAAATACTTGCCATAATTGTTCACAATAATCATATGATGTGTCATGCGCAAAAACCAGTCACCTACCTTCAAGGTCAAGGTCACACTTTGAGGTCAAATATTAACATAGTCTGTTACAGGGTATATTTCCTGTCCAGTCCATAACTTTCTTATCTATGAAGGGATTTTGTAAATACTTGCCATAATTGTTCACAATTATCAGACGATGTGTCATGCGGAAAAAGCAGTCACCTACCTTCAAGGTCAAGGTCACACTTGGAGGTCAAATATTAACATATTCTGTTACAGGGTATATTTCTGTCCGGTCCATAACTTTCTTATCTATGAAGGGTTTTTGTAAATACTTGCCATAATTGTTCATAATAATCAGACGATGTGTCATGCGCAAAAAACCAGTTGCCTACCTTCAACATCAAGGTCACACTTGGAGGTCAAATATTAACATAGTCTGTTACAGGGTATATTTCGTGTCCGGTCCATAACTTTGTCATTTATCATCAAAGGAATTTGAGATAACTTGGCACAAATGTTTGTTATAATAAGACGATGTGTCATGCGCAACAACCAGACCCGTACCTTCAGGGTCAAGGTCGTACTTGTTCATTCAAGGTCAACATTATCTATTTGAGGGTATATGTCGTGTCCAGTCCATAACTTTCTTATCTATGAAGGACTTTTGTAAATACTTGCCATAATTGTTAACAATAATCAGATGATGTGTCATGCACAAAAACCGGTCACCTACCTCCAAGGTCAAGGTCACACTTGGAGGTCAAATACTTACATAGTCTGTTACAGGGTATATATTTTGTGTCAGGTCTATAATTTTTTCATAGATCAAAGGATTGTGAAAATACTTCGCACAAAATAGTCACTATAATAAGAGGATGTTCATGCGCAACACCTGCATCCCTACCTCCAAGGTCAAGGTCACACTTAGAGGTAAAAAATTAACATAGTCTGTTATTAGGTATATTTTGTGTTGAATCTAGAACTTCTTCATAGTTCAAGGGATTTTTGAAATAACTTGGCACAAATAGTCACAATAATAAGACGTTATGTCATGCACAACACCTGCTCCCCCTACCTCCAAGGTCAAGTTCACACTTAGAGGTCAAAGCTTAACATGATAGATTTTTAAATTCCGTGTTTCATTTTTATTTTTTTAACAAATTTATTGTTACATTTGCAGATCTAGCATTGATCATAATTTTGGACTGAATGTCCTGAGGTCCATACCTCAATCTTTTGAAATAGCACAATTTTATGCTTCATATAAAACTCCCGGGGCGGGGGACGTTGGTAACTCTGTTACAAATTCTTGTTTATTTTTGAAATGACAATCTTTTTTTCAGATATCTATCATTTCTTACATACAAATAATTCATTATCAGCTGACTGGACAAATGGAAATCCACCAAGTAGAAAAATGCGCCGTACATTTTCATTTATATTTTATGTGCCGTACGTTATCATTACTGGAAAATGCTCCGATATTAATATTTTTAGCGGTTATTCTAGCCAGAAAGGGCATGAATGCTTAGATGACGACAAATTATTTATTACAAGTTTTTTAAGTCAGTGGTTTCAGTTAATATACATACTATTAGTTATAAAGATCGTTGACAGGTTATATGGCCCTATATAAACGGCTATTTGTAAATATAACCCGAGCCGTTAGGCGAGGGTTATATTTCAAACAGCCGTTTATATACGGCCATATAACCTGTCAACAATCTTTATAAACGAATTTATAATACAGCAAAGCATCATTTTGAGGGAAATAAATAAGATTTTTTTCATGAATCGACAGCAGCCGTGTATATAAAAAACTATATAAAACGTCACGATTATCCAATGAAAAATGACGTTACAAAAGTGCAGTATTATAATGTATGTATATATGTATGTTATTACATGTATATGTAAACGAAACAGTGAAGTTTAGAGAAGAAGCCGTACATTACCACGATCAAACCGGCGGAAAATTCTCTCGCTTTGAATCTCAGGTGACGCCTATTTCAGAAGTACGGGAAATAAACTCCTGTGAGCCAGGAAAATTGGGGAGAAGGTTATTATATGTACCTTTACACACTAGATCATCACGAATTTCAGAGAGGAAAACGAAAACTTACTTTTCGGCTGCATCCGCCATTTTGTTTGTTTGGGTTACGAACGGCGTGATTCTCCCCCTTGACTTACTGCATTATGGCAAAGTTCAGTTGTAGAGAAACAAACAAAATCTACTTCTATTCCTACTATTTAGTATTGTGTTATTGCGGTGGCATAACATTTTTTTCACAAATGCAATCTTGTTTCCACTTGCAATTATTATAGCCATCTTGTTTAATCTCTGTATAATCTCTTTCTATTTTTTTCAGATGGCAACATTCAACAATGAAAATATTTTATCTTCTGAGTGTTATACAGTTGATTAAGCAATGGCTTCATACAGCCCTAAGCTGTTAGAAAAGAAATACAATAACTGGGTTAAAGCCCAGTTGGCTGTCCTGTTTACTAAAGAAAGGTATTGAACCTTTTGTTTGCAATGAAATTCAACAATTTCAACAGAAATGCTTAGATGATATATGTTACAGCAATGGATTATTTAGTGGGACTTTTTGTTCAAATTGCTGTACAGAAAATGTTATTAAATGTCCAACAAATAGATTATGTAATGTTGGACGTGGACAATGCAGTTATCATCGAAATGCTGCAACAAGGTATAATCCTGCCGGCTGCCCTAACAAGATATGTCATAATTTCACAACAGAGATACAGAATGCACATAGGTTCTATGGTCCATCATACAAAAACACTGATGCTACCCAATGGTGCAGTAATTCATGGGAGATAGCGAAATGTTTCATGCCCCCTGATGGATATAAAGATGTAGCTAGTGCACAAGAAACAGACTTCAATGGCATCATTAGTGTTATCATTAATTACAAAGACTTTCAGTTGAAAGTACATGAAAAGCTAGGCAACAAGAAAAACATTTTTGAACAGGTAAGTAAAGTCAAATATGTTTTATTTGCATATAAATTGTGTATAAAGAGGGTATATAAGTCCAGGATATATAAAAGGATGATTGTTTTGAATATGCTATATATCACACTGAGAAGTAAGAAAATTGAATGGAAAATGTAGATATTAACTCTTCAATGTGTGATATATAGCTTATTCTGATTCACATGAAAAAATTCTATTTTATATTTTATGTCTTATAAATAAAAAGCAGCAATTTTGACTGTTTTTAAATGAAACACGATCAACAGTTGCACATAAAGAAAATGTTAAGCTGGGCAATAATAAATTACTGAAGTAAGTTTATAGTCACCATTGCGTTGTGTAACTTATAACTATATTATTCTGATTCACATAAAATGAATAAATATCACCGTCATTTAACCTTGATTGGCGGACTTATTTTTCAGCTCAAGACTTCTTGTTTTTAATGAGAAATTCCGTCTAAATGGGGCTCTCAATGGGGGAAACAGATTTTAATATTAAAGTTAAAATTATGGAAATTTCGTTTTAACTTGTTTTTAAGCATAAAATAAAAACAAAATTTGTCTGTTTGTTGTGTAAGATGTAATTTTATTTCATCTTGTGAACTTTAAAAACAGTATTATCACTCGTGGCTGCGCCACTCGTGAGAAATTGAGAATACAGTTTTTAAAGCCCACTCGATGAAACAAACAAACAGATATCCTCTATATATTTTATGTCTTATATATACAAAGCAGTACCTTTTGACTGTTTTTAAATGAAACACGATCAAAAGTTGCACATAAAGATGTTGTCATACATTTATAGTTATGTTTGGCAATTACTATAGTAAATTAAAGTTTAAAGTCACCATTGCATTGTGTAACTTATAACTATATTATTTATTATTGGAAGAAAAAAATAAAACAATTTATGTAAATTTACAATGTAGTGAATTTATGATTTTGATATATGATAATTGTAATGTAATAATAAATATATTTTAACAGGAAAATGTGTACATGTATAATTATGAGCTATAAAGACCCACTTTGACATGTAAATTTGCATTTATTGTACAACTAGCTCATTAATTTTGCATGAAGTTAAAGATTGAAATGCTGTATTGTATTAGTTAACAGATTATCGTGTGTCACAGGAATGAACCCGTCTTTTCATTTTATTTTTTTAGGCAAGAGACATTGGTAGGACTGTAAGACATTCATCAGAATTAGAGGTGGAGGACAAAGACCTTCAACAATACTTTAAAGTATTACAGCAACTACTTTCTGATCCCGTATATTTAGCTACAGACACACATGCACAAAGTGCAAAACAGAAAATCATAGATGTAAGTATTAGCAGCTCACCTGAGCAGATTCTTTTTGTTTCACCAAACTTTATTAAAAGTTTGTTATTATGACATCTTAAAAACTTAAATCATGGGTTGTCTGAGCAAATCAAAGTAGTTAGATTGACAGAAAACCTTATTAACTCTCTTGAAAACTACATTTTAAGTTTTTCATTGAAAATGTCTGTCTTGATTCTGAATTTTGAATGTTAAGCAGAAGAAAGTCTTGATACTCAAATTGTCATACTTATATTATATAAACATGTATCTATATTGACACTATATTAAGCTGAGATGAAAGGGTAACAATTTTCACTTAGGTGAACAATAAAGGGCCATTATAGCTCTCTTGTCAGTTGGCTCACCTGACCATGTTTTGCCTAATGTGTCTAATCCAAATTAAAAACGTAAATCTTTATCTAATTTCACAAAAGTTTATATGTAAACTGTCCTGACCTGATACATATACATCAGTAAAGGTCAGGAAGATTTTAAGAATTAGATATTTACTCATTCCTGGTAAAGAATTTCAAAGCAACGAGCTTAGGTATTTGGTTGGTTTTTGACTTTGCTTACAGTCTGCTACTGAGGCTATTCAATTTAAAAACTGTATGTCCGATATAGTTGGATCTTTCTCAAGTATATAGAAATAAAGTGAAAATTCAGAATTCTAAAATCTGGAAAGTTCTGACACCCCACAATTTTCTTTATCTTCTGAATTTCCATTCTTGTAAGTCCTAAATTCTCGAAAAAATTTGGTTGAATTTAGGTTATATCAATGTTATTTAGGTCCGAAATCTCGTAATTAAAAAGGTCACGGATGGTAATATTACTTGAAATTTTGAAACCTGCTAAATGTCAGTGTCTCCCAATTAGCAGTAACCATTTAATGTGGCACCTATAAGAGTCATGTTAATAATATGTCAAGTTTGTCTCTCCTTTGCTATGACAACTACCAATTACCGGTACTTAAAAACACTTTGGCCTACAGTTCTAAGATTTGGTGTGGAGGTTTGTCTGAGGTCAGAAGATCAAGGTCAATGCCACTGTGGCTTTTGTCACTAAAAGCATGTCTGGCCAATAACTATGGAGGGCTTTGGCCTTCTTTCCTAAGATTATGTGTGGAGGTTGGTCATGACTATAAAATGGCCCCTATCAATTTAATTTATGTAATGGTCGTATAAGGTCAAGGTTATGGTGATGCATGAAATACTTAAGACCAAGAGTCTCATCAATCGCAGGTTTGTAAACTTATGAGTTGTAATGCTGTATTCCTAGAAATTATTTTTCTCTTTTGAAGTTAGCCCTTTTGGAGTTAGCCCTTTTGGCACTTCTGGAGTTAGCTCTTTTGGCAGTGGACTTATTTCCGTGAATCTTTATAACCAATAATACAAATCTGCGAAGATTTCAACCAGTCAGATAATCATTATGATGTACTAAAACTTGTGTATGTTTTAAGTCTTGTCATATGAGACTAGGGAGAACTAAAACACAAACAGAAATTTCTTAAATCCAGAGTTTTTGACTTGTCCAAATGGTGTTCAGATTTCAGGATTTACACTGTATCAACAGAAATACATTTATGTTATGTCAAAAACTATATAATCCAGATTTTAGGTAAAATTCTGTAGTTAAGTTCTATAAATGATTTGCCTTTTCTTATAAAATTTACAGTGTGAAAGGAAAACATCTAAGTCATTGCACTTCATATTGGAGATTAAAATAAAAACATCTTGATGTTAATAAAATTAACAACTTTTATGAAATATTTGAATGCACAAGGATCATTCCATTTCCAAGAACTTCTCAATAATAGAGGCCATTGTATTTAAATGTTATTTTGTGCTGTATAGTTTGCTTGTACTGTGTAAGTCATGTTGATGAAGATGATTAAAGAATGATTTATTTTTTGAATTTCATGTTAAATTCTCATTTCTTCTTATCAATATTAATATTAAAATATGATTGCAGCTTGAGAATGACATATTGGTTATTGGTATAGATGATGTAAGGAAAGCATTAGACGATGTGGCAAAAGCAGTTCGGGATAAAATAAGAACTGAAATAGATGAACAGAAGAAGCAGTCAGAAGAGATTAAACTTGAAATGATTCAAAGAAAACAGGATGATCTTCGGTCTCTTGAGTCTAAAACTGCTGAGGGAGTGAAAACACTTGACAACCTTACTAGTGAGGGAGCCAAGAAAATTAAAGAAGGAAGTGATAATGCAGTAAATGTTATTGAATCAAGTTCAAACACAGGACTGAGCAGAATAAAACAAGAAACTAACACTTTAATAGATAGTTTTGATGTCAAAACTAAAAATACAATTGAAGAATCTGTAAAAACTCTTAGGATTCAGAGTGGCAATGAACGAGAAAGCATAGCAGAACTGGGGAAGAAAGAAAAGAAAGAAATGATAGAATTAGGAGAGACTTTACAGAAAACTCTTTACACTAGAAGTATAGATGACAAAGAGGAACAATATATTACATATAGAAAAAGTAAGTTAAGTCTCCTTGTGTGGCATTACATTGCTCAGAGCTTAGACATTTAGCATTTCCTATTTGACCTACTTAACTTTTGCATTGAAGAATTGTATGAATATTAGATGAGTGATCAAGTGACATCATGACCTTAATTCTTGTTTTGCATAATTATGGGGTCATTAAAAGTTATTATTTTTAGTCCCCTGGCGGTTTAACCTGAAGGGACTTTAGGTTCGCCCTTCATACGGCTGTCTGTCCATTTGTCTACAAAAACTGGATCCCATGATAACACAATAACATTAAATATGCCAGGTGGCAGGGCATTTTTTGCCAAAATTGTGAAGGGGCCTGGGACTGTTCATTTTGTGGGGAAAAAAATGCGATATGTCATAAAATTGTGAAAAATGACAAAATATAATATTTGCCAATGAAATTATGAAACCGGAAATGATGAAGCTTGATAATAATTTCTGACCAGTGTAAAATCTGCTTTGAGCTGGTACTTCAATCTGGTAAACATGCACAAATACCATATAACTTGATTAAAACTATTTACATGTTTGCAATAGGCAAAAGTCAAGTTTTACCAGAAGGTAAACAATGAAATTTGAAGACAAAGTCCTGAAATTTTATATGAAATCCCTTTTGAAATTGTGAATTTTTTTTTTGTGAAAAAAAAAGTGCAATTTTGAATTGTGAAGGGGCCTTTTATAGAAGGAAAAAATGCCCTGGGTGGTCTGGAGATTGTGCACGCCTTTATTTTTCTTCCTATGTTGAAGAATTTGCTTGTTATGGCAGCAGAAAGACTTAATGTAACACTGTTTGCGATAGCACAAATAATAATGAAAATATTACTAAACCTTGAAATATGGATAGATGACTGTATGGATATTATGCACATCATTTCAAGATTGATAAGGGAGTATATTGAGAACTGTCCTACTTACCCAGTGTCGGCAACTGCTTCCAGATTTCTTATAAAAGATTTTTCAAATATTTGTTACTGATCATCAAGCACATCATGCGTGACTAGATTCACACAACCCTATCACCAAAATTTATAGAATTACCCCATTAAACATAGAATTTTCATGAAGAAAATAGTTTTTATAATTTCTTTATTTCTAACTGTATTTACTTCAAACTTCAGAAATATGATTCTCATTGTCACCCACATCAAATTAAGCAAGGTTCATAATTCTAATAATTTAATAGTTTTATCATTGTTGAACTTGTTGAATTTTTCATGAAATATATGATAAGACTAGTGCCTGGCTTTCAATGCAATGATTTTATTTTTCATTTTTAGCTCGACTTTTTTTTTTTTTAAAAAGTAGAGGTATTGCTATAGTTGCCGATGCCGTTGCCGATGCCGTTGCCGTTGCCGTTCCCGTCCGCAAACTTGTACCTGGATCATAACTTTTTTATTTCTTGGTGTATTGTCTTCATACTTGGCCACAACAACCCTTGGGACAAGACCTTTCAGTAGACCATACTTACCTTGACTTTCATCCATAAATGACCTTGACCTTCAAGGTTAGAAATCCAAATTTTGCTTGTTCATGCTGTTATTGGCTGTAACTTTGTTATTTTTGAATGGATTGTCTTCAAACTTGAACATGATAATCTTCAAGGATATCCCTTAAAAATAACCAGACAGACCTTGACCTTCACTCATAAATGACCTTGACTTTGAAGGTCAAATTATTGAAATTTTCATTTTTTTGGCTATTATTGGCTGTAACTTTGTTATTTTTGAATGGATTGTCTTCAAACTTAAACATGATAATGTTCAAGGATAACCCTTAAAAATAACCAGACAGACCTTGACCTTCACTCATTAATGACCTTGACTTTGAAGTTCAAATTATTGAAAGTTTTATTGTTTTGGCTGTAACTGGCTGTAACTTTGCTATTATTGAAGGGATTAACTTCATATTATTACAGAACATACTTAAGGACAAGACCTTGTTGTTTATTAAACACTTGGGCTCTTTAATGACCTTGACCTTGAAGGTTAAATTACTGAATTTTCTCAGATTTGTGCATTAAATGACCATATATATTTATTGGTGTGTGTGTGTGTATATATACACTGAACAAAAGTTCTAACCGACCACCCTGGGTTTTCGCTTATATATGAAAAAGAATTATACCAATAGATCCGACTTTTATTTTATTTCGAAGAGAATGAACACATTGAGAATAATAAAATGATGAAATTTTTCTATTTAAATAATACTTTATCGATATTTAAAAAAAATATTTTTATGAACAACCACTCACCTGTCTGATAGAGACTCCAGCATTCAACATTCCAACTGCTACGGCACGATCTTACATCAACATTCGTGCCATGTTTTTTGTTTTTTCACTTATAAAGTTAACAAGGATTTATGCAATGTTAAATTTAGTACTCACCACGCTCTGCACGAACATTTCGTGCCCAAATGTGTAAACCGCCACCTGCCTCCCGCGTGAGTGCATTGAACCGTATTAAATTATTTTTCATTCCACAAATCGGTAGAACATGACACAAAAATCACATCTGCAAAATTTAATAAGGATCTATTGACCCGTTATAAAATAATCAAAATTTAAAAAGTGATCGGTTAGAACTTTTGTTAAGTGTATGTCATCATCATCATCAACAACAACACGTGTCACCACCACCTGTCACCACCATCACCACGCCACACCAACACATGACACCACCTGACTCCACCATATGACTCCACCATTGACACCACCACGTGACTCCACCACGTGACTTCACCACGTGACTCCACCACAACACCACCACGTGACTCCACCACATGACTCCACCACGTGACACCACCACTTCACACCACAACATGACACCACCATGTGACACCACCACTTGACTACACCATGTGACACTACCTTGTGACACCACCACATGACATCACCATGTGAATTCACCACGTGACTCTACCACGTGACTCTTCAACGTGACTCAACCACTTGACTCCACCACTTGACTCCACCACGTGACTCTTCCACGTGACTCCACCACGTGACTCCACCACGTGACACCACCACTTGACACCACAACATGACACTTCCACGTGACTCCACCAAGTGACTCTACCACATGACTTTGCCACGTGACTCTACCACGTGACTCTGCCACGTGACACAACCAAGTGACACTGCACAAGAATATACTACGTAACTCTGCCACGTGACACCACCAAGTGACACCACCATGTGACTCCACCACATGACACCACCACATGACTTCACCACGTGAGTCCACAATGTGACACCACAGCATGACTCCACCACATGACTCCACGTGGCTCTACCATGTGACACCACCATGTGACACCACCACATGACACCATGTGTCAACCACGTGACACCACCACGTGTATCTATCTGTAGAATTTTCTATTTATAGAATTGCGTGTTTCTATTTCAAATATATAGACAAAACTAATGTGACAAGACAGACCGATTAATTTTATAAAAAGGAAACGTTAAGATTTTGTTCAAACATATCTTTGTTTGCTTTTAGAGAAAGTAAAAAGTCGAGCGTTGCCCCCGCTCGGCGGTTGCTCTTGTTAACTTTAAAATTATTTGAAAATCATTTTTTTTTAAATTTTCTTCTTTGTTACTTTAAATGGTATATATTTGAAAATTGTTATTTTTCATGTTTATTCTTTGTTACTTTAAATGGTATCTACTGAAATATGATTAACAAGTTCAACATGGAAGGCGACGTTCAATGAAGACTTAAAAAGTGTTCTTTGTCATCACTCACATCATGTATGACAAGGTTGATAAATTCAGCTTCTTTATTTCAAGTCATCAGTTCTCCTCTTTAGAATTTTGAATGTTTACTTATTAAATTGTTATCAACTACTGACTGGAATTCAACAAAACTTAATGGAAATCATCAATATCAAGATGGGTCTCACCGGAACAAGGCGACGATATGCGCATCTGCTCTTGGTATTGAAGGTTCCCATAAAGTTTCGTTGATTTCCAGCCAGTAGTAGCAGAGAAGAAGTATGGAAACGATTTTTACTCTATATGCATACTGCATTATTAATCAAATGTTATAGCCCTTGATTAGTTATGCAGTGAGCATATAGAGTAAAAATCGTTTCCGCCTTATTCCGGTCAGAAACTTCGTTGCCGCGCTACTATTCTGCTAATATTGGCTGGAATTCAACAAAACTTTATGGGAACCTTCAATACCAAGAGATGATGCGCATATCATCGCTTTGTTCCTGTCAGACAATTTAACTTAGAGTTGTGGCGCTTGATTAGCTATGAAGTATCGGGGCTTTTTTTCACAGTTTGGGGAAGCAGCCCAGCCCTTAATTTTGGGGAAAAATTACATGGTATATTTGCAAAAGGGGAAGAAAAAACTTAATGTAAATTCAATTTTTGGGGAAAACTGCATGATTTTAAAGAAATTTTCTTTGGGGAAGCAGCCCTATACCGGCCCCTGTTATAGAAGGTAAAAAGGCCCTGAGTATGCATATAGAACAATATTCGTTTCCGCACTACTTCTCCGCAACTTCTGACTGGAATTCAATTAAACTTTATGAGAACCATTAATACCATGAGGAGATGTGCATAGTGTTGCCTTGTTGAAGTTGTTCATACCAGACCCTTCATTACAGTTATGGCCCTTGATTAGTATAGTATGCGTATAGAGCAATATTGTTATTCCTTTGCAACTGCTGTACTGATTTCAACAAAACTTTATGGCAACCACGGATACACAAAGGCAACTTACATCTCATTGGCATGTGCAGATATTAATATTTAACACAGAGTTACATGTATGGCTCTGTTATTACCCTGAATATTTATCAAGTACAAAGAATATCACTGTTTATGCCATGATAAATATATATAAGCTTTATGTCTTCAGGTGTTGTGTTAGTAATAAGTTAACCAATGCTCAGCGGGGATTTAAATATAAAGAATTTGCTTGTTATTTTCTGGATGCAACTAGGGAAGTTAAAAGATTTGACTTCTTTGTGTCAGTCATTCTGTCTGTCGGTCTGCCCGTCACTAAAAACTGTTTCCTGAGATTGGGAAACTTGGAACTTTTCCAACAAATTTAGTTAATAAAGAGATAAATATAGAGAAAAGTTGAAGCATTGTTACTAATTTATCCTGAGAAAACTGATCTTTTGATAATCTGTTTAACATAATTTTCTTATTAGGCAGGGAAACTTAACATATTTCTATGATACAGACAAACTAAGAACTCAAAAGTTCATTCATGTCTACAACAATGGCATAATTGAATAGTCATGGCCGCTAGGCGAGGGTTATATTGCAAACAGCCGTTTATATACGGCCATATAACCTGTCAACAATCTTTATAACGAATTTATAATACAGCAAACATCATTTTTTTAGAGAAAAAAGTAAGATTTCTTCATGAATCGACAACAGCCGTGTATATAAAACTATATAAACGTCACGACTATCCAATGAAAAGCGACGTTACAAACGTGCAGTATTATAAAACCCTATATAAACGGCTATTTGTAAATATAACCCGAGCCGCTAGGCGAGGATAATATTGGAAATAGCTGTTTATATACGGCCATAATAACCTGTCAACAATCTTTATAAGGAATTTATAATACTGCAAGCATCATTTTTTAGAGAAAAGTTAAGATTTTGTCATGAATCGACAATAGCCGTGTATATAAAACTATATAAACGTCACGATTATCCTATGAAAAGCGACGTTACAAACGTGCAGTATTATAAATACTGTTTCTTTTGTTTCTTCATTATTTATCATTTACAGTGCACAAAGTTACATTTATTTTGCTTGTATTTGTATTCAAACTAGAACAAAACTTTCTACAATGGTGATAATTGAATACCTTTTTTACCATGTTACTAAATACTACAAAAATAAAGTACTATTTAAAGGATTTTTTCACACTTAGTAGTTTAAATATATTTGAATAGTAATGATGTGTATATTATTTCAATTTTAGAACTTAAAGATGAACTAATTAAATGGTACAACACCAATCAGAGTACTGTTCCACTTTCACCACTGACAGATGACTTAGATTCGCCGCTAGCTGGGTTTTACGTCATGCCAGACATCGATATACATACAAACATATTCAGCCAAGAGAGGGAAACCACTAGAGTCAAGTCATTAGAAGAGGTCTTTACATCCAGTGGGAGGGTTGTACGGGAAATATATTTGTCAGCTGATGCTGGTTTTGGAAAAACTGCATTTTCAAAATATCTGGCCATAACATGGTGTCAAGCTCATCAAAAAGATCAAAACTACAAATATTTTAAAGAAGAAGAACTAAAGGCCTTATCTGGCTTTGAGTTTATATTCCTGGTGTTATTAAGGGATTCAGTTCAAGTCTGTAACATTGATGACATGATCGAACAAAAAATTATAAAATGTCTTCCTTGTTCGTCATCATTACCAAAAGACTTTTTAAAAGAAATTTTGAGTCGTGAAAAATGCTTAGTTATTTTGGATGGGCTAGACGAATGGACTCATCCTGACAATGCTTGTACAAGATCACATGAAAATCTTCCTCACCGATACGCACGAGAAAATTGTGCAATCCTAACAACAACCCGGCCATGGAAGCTTGGTGTTTCAAACTTGAGGACAAGTCAAATGGACAGGACAATAGAGTTAGCTAAATTAAATAAGAAGTCAGTAATGACATTACAGTTAAATGCAATTCGAGTGATGAAAAAAGGCCTTTGTGAACATGAAATGAAGAAACAAAGGAAGGACTTAAATAAAGTTATAAAACGAAGTGGTCTCAACAACCTAAAAGCAGTTCCTCTCATTTTAATGTACATTGTATGTTTATGGTGTGATGGTAAACCTATTGGACAGTCAAAATGCCAACTTTATACAAGTATAGTAGAACTGCTTCTGTCAAGAACACTGAATAAACATCCAGAACTAGAAACAGACACCAACCCTTCCCAGGATGATCTCCCACAATGCTTTATTAAACATGTGAAATGCCAAAAATACAGCAAGCTTATAACGGTCTTAGGAAAACTAGCTTTCCATACATTATTCAATGTTCAGAAAGAAAATACCCTTGTATTCAACAGATCTATTGCTGAAAATTATCTTTGTCCAGGTAATTTAAAATTAAGTTTACTTTCAGGAATACTAACAGAAAGTAAAGTGAAAACATATACAGAACAAAATTCAAAAGTATCCTTTTCCCACAAAACTGTTCAGGAATTCTTTTGCGCATCTTACATAAGTGTTCAAACCATATCTGATATACAGAAAGAAATTGTAGAAAAATGCAGAACTGTGCAGCATATTCTAGATATGTCAACATTGTTTATGTTTATTAGTGGTATGAAACCCGAAATCATGTCTTCAGTCTCACATGAATTTATGATTGTGATAAACAATGATGAGAAAACAAAGAAATACAGAACTATGACATTTTATTTTAACTATGACCACAAACCATTATTAGTTATACAAGACATGAACATTTCTTGTGCCAAAGAAAGCCAGGAAAACAAAGACCACAATTTGTGTTTACAAGATTTCTTCATTAATGAGAAATGTCAACAAGAAAACTACTTCAAACAGTTACAACATTTGTGCCAACAAAATAAAGAAAACATAAAATCAATAATGATAGAAAATAAAGGTATTTGTAGTGTACAAGAAATAATCAATTTGTTTACACTCTCTGACCTTCCACATATAGAGAAATTATCCTATCAAGGTGATATTGTAGAAGAGAAAATAATAAGCTTGTTATTGAACCCTTTAAAATGTTTAACTGTGATATCAAGTAAATGGGAAAATCATAAGTTTGTAGGAAAACGTTGCCAGCTGTCTGCAGAGATAAATAGAGGACTGGTAAAATTACAACACCTGGAGTGTTTATCTATAGAATGGTTCACTATGAGCCACGAGGTAATGGAGACATTGTTAAATTTCCTCACTAGTAAAAATTCAATGAAAGAAATAAAATTGTACAATTTAGACTGTAGTGATCATGGTACTTCATGTAGAGGATTAAACTTTGACCTGTCTCAACATTCACAACTAAGAAGTTTAGGATTTATCCGGATACCTGTGTCACAATTAAATACGGATGTATCGTTGTTAGAGGATTGTGATGTAGGTGCATTATATAAACCTGGTGTTGTGTCATCTTACCTCAGTCAACTACCAGCAGCCGGTAAACTACAAAGATTTGAGTGTTGTGATCTAGAATCTTCCAGTGACATAGAAACAATGTTACAAACATTATCATTGTTATATCATGTGAAAGATGTTAGGTTGTATTACATCAATCTAGGTGAAAGATCATTAACACTGTCACCTCAAATGATCAATATTGAATCTGTTAACTTGTTGTATATAACAATGTCTTGTTCAGTGTTACATGATCTCATTTCTGTTATAAACAAACTACCACATACAGTGACAGTACTTATACAAGGTTGTGATATAAAACCAGAAACAGAATTTGAAAACTTTAAAACATTTATAAAACAATCAGACAATTTTGTGGTAACCATTTGTGGCACCTTGAAGTCTGGAGTGTACAGGTTTGAGTTTAAAACAACAACAAGTACTGAGTAACCTTTAATAAACTTAGGAGAAACAATTTATAAATAGATTATGAGACAAATGACAGGTGAAATGGACATCATTTTTTTATTATGAATCAAATATTTAGATAGATAAGGAAAAGTTTAAAAATGTGTTCACATAATTAGAAAATGGAAGTGTAAAGATGGACTGATATTTATTTATACCAATATCAAAAATTATCTTTATTTATTTTTAGCTCGACTAATCGATAAGAATAAGTAGAGCTATTGCAGTCACCCGAGCGTCGGCGTCGGCGTAACCACTTATGTTAAAGTTTTTGTAATAGTTAAAATATTTTCAAAGTCCATTGACATATGGCTTTGAAACTTTGCACACTTGTTCACCATCATGACCCCAATCTGTAGACAGGAGGAGGTAACTCTATCAAGCATTTTGACAGAATTATGCCCCTTTTTCGACTTAGAATTTGCGTTAAAGTTTTTGTAATAGTTCAAATATTTTCCAAGTCCATTGACATATGGCTTTGAAACTTTGCATACTTGTTCACCATCATGATCCCAACCTGTAGACAGGAGGAGGTAACTCTATCAAGCATTTTGACAGAATTATGCCCCTTTTTCGACTTAGAATTTACGTTAAAGTTTTTGTAATAGTTAAAATATTTTCAAAGTCCATTGACATATGGCTTTGAAACTTTGCACACTTGTTCACCATCATGACCCCAACCTGTAAACAGGAGGAGGTAACTGTATCAAGCATTTTTTTACTATCAAGCACTTAGAATAGTCGAGCGTTGCTGTCCTACCGACAGCTCTTGTTTTACAGTGCAGTATAGATTATTATTTTTAACTTGGCACATTTAAATGCGGCAACAATAAATTAATTGTTTTAAAAATTATCTTTTCTTAATATTCAACTACACAGATTTTTAATCTTCAGGAATACAGTACATATAAAACCGAAAAACAAAATTTGAAAAAAATGATACACCAATAAAATACTTCAGAGTTATTCATGGTGATGTATAATGGTATCTATCAGAACAGGGAAAACAAATAAACAAATTGAATTCACAACAATTAAAACTCTGTAACAGATAAAGAATAAAAATACATTTTTTGTGAACTACATTAATTTTATTAATAGAACAGTTAAATGTATTTTGAATAATTTTGAAATTGAATCTAAACAAAATAAAATGCCAGATATTCAGAACTTTTACGAGTATTACAAAAATACTAATGCTCGCACAGAATATGATGACAACTTTAATTTTGACTGTGACATTTATTCACAAGAAAACAATGATATTCTTTATGGTAAAATCTGCAGAAATAAGTAAAGTGATTCGGAAATGTAATAACTCCAAAGCTGCATCACAACATGACTACATATATTATGAATAATTATTTAAAGAGTACTGAAAATTTACTGTGACTCCTTTAAAAAAGTATTTGATTCTAGTATTCTACCTGATTATAAGCTGGTTAATAGGAAATATTGTAATATCCCCGTATTATGTGACTCTCAGTTTTATTGTGTCACCTTGAAAAGGCAACATATAGGGGTTACTTCTGTCGTCGGTGTCGGCGTCCCCTAAAGCTTGTCCGGAGCATAACTCAGTCACTATAAGTCTGATTGACTTCAAACTTGGTATGCATGCTTCCTTCAATAACCCGAAGTGCAGTGCACAAGAACCGGTACTCTTCACTTCTTAATTTTTGAGTTATTGCCCTTTGTTAATTTTCATATTTTAATTTTGTCCGGGCCATTTCTCTTCAACTATAAAAGCTATGGACATGAAACTTCATAGGATGATAGATCTCATTACGAAAAAGTGCAGTGCACAAGAACTGGTACTCTTCACTTCTTATTTTTGAGTTATTACCCTTTATTAATTTTCATACTTTATTTTTGTCTAGGCCATTTCTCATAAATTATAAAAGCTATGGACTTGAAACTTCATAGGATGATAGATCTTATTGATAAGAAGTGCAGTGCTCTGCACTTCTTATTTTTTGAGTTATTGCCCTTTGTTAATTTTCTTGTCCTGGCCATTTCTCCTAAACTATATTGTTCACAAGGCGACACATCCGACTGGAAAGTTAATTATTTATTTTAACATATATGCGGTTACCGCAAACATAAACAAATCAATTGTGTTATAACTTTAAATATGTTAAAGATAAATCACCTGCACATTTGTTGTGTACCACCAGTATATTTTGCTGGTTTTCTTCTGATCTTTTAAGATTGTAGACTAAATCATAGTTTGACATGATTTCCGTGAACATGTAAAGTATTTGGCAATGTACCATACATTAAATTTACATTCTGATCTGATAATTATTGACCAGCCAGCCTGCTTTATAGTGCATATAAAACAAATGGTGCTTCCATCTTTCCAGATTTTATCCATTGTTTATATTGTTTAAGCAGGCTTTCCAGATATTTCCTTTTTAGCTCGACTATACGAAGTATATGGAGAGCTGTCCTACTCGCCCCGGCGTCGGCGTCCGCGTCCAGATTTTAGATTAAAGTTTTGGTGCAGTAAAATATTTTTCACTATAACTTTGTCATTTCTTAAGGTATCAACTTCAAACTTCAAATATATGTTCCTTATCATCAACCACATCTTATGTGACAAGGTTCATAACTCTAGCACCAATATTTTCAGATTAATCTCCCCTTAAACTTAGAATTTTCCTTAAAAAATACTATTTTTTACTGATACTTCTTTATTTCTTAAGGGATCAACCTCATACTTCAAATATATGTACATTATCATCATCCCCATCTTATGTGACAAGGTTCATAACTCTAGCATCAATATTTTTAGATTTATCTCCCCTTGAACTTAGAATTTTCCTCAAAAAATACTATTTCTTACTGTTTCTTCTTTATTTCTGAAGGGATCAACCTCATACTTCAAATATATTTACGTTATCATCATCCCCATCTTATGTGACAAGGTTTATAACTCTAGCACCAATATTTTCAGATTTATCTCCCTTTGAACTTAGAATTTTCCATAAAAAATATTATTTTTGACTGTAACTTATTTAGTTCTAAAGGGATCAACTTCATACTTCAAATGTATTTACGTTATCATCATCCACATCTTATGTGACAAGGTTCATAACTCTAGCACCAATATTGCAAGAATTATCTCCCCATAAACTTAGATTTATTTACTAGAAAAATGTTATTTTTTATTTTAACTTTTTTATTTTTAAAGGCATCTACCTCAAACTTCAAATACTTATTCCTTATCATCAATTACATTTTATGTGACAATGTTCATAACTCTTGAAGCAATATTTACAGATTTATCTCTCTTTGAACTTAGGTTTTCTTTAAGAAATATAATAACTTCTTTATTTTTTAAGGTATCTACTTCAAACTTCAAATATATATTTCTTATCATTACACAAATGTTGTGTGGTAAGGTCCATAACTCTAGCATGACTATTTCTAGACTTATTCCCCTTGATCTTGGAATTTATGTTAACAAATGTTATTTTTTTACTATTTTAATACATAATTATACATAATTGATTTTTCTTTCATAGTTTTGTCCTCCTTACTGCGTCCAGTATTTTATTAGTCGAGCTGTGACAGCTCTTGTTTTTATGCTCCCCGAAAAATTTTGGGGGAGCATATAGTCGCCGCCTTTTCCGTCCGTCCGTCCGTCCCCTTTTCTTGTCCAGGACATAACTCTAAAAGTATAAGAGGTATCAACATGAAACTTTGTAGGTAGATAGATCTCATTAAGTAGGTGTGCAGTGCACAAGAACCGTAACTCTGCCTTGCCTAATTTTTGAATTATTCCCCTTTGTTTATTTTTACACTTTGAACTTTGTCCGGGACATAACTCTAAAAGTATAAGAGGTATCAACATGAAACTTTGTAGGTAGATAGATCTCATTGAGTAGGTGTGCAGTGCACAAGAACCGTAACTCTGCCTTGTCTAATTTTTGAATTAATCCCCTTTGTTTATTTTTACACTTTGAACTTTGTCCGGGACATAACTCTAAAAGTATAAGAGATATCAACATGACACTTTGTAGGTAGATAGATCTCATTGAGTAGGTGTGCAGTGCACAAAAACCGTAACTCTGCCTTGCCTAATTTTTGAATTATTCCCCTTTGTTTATTTTTACACTTTGAACTTTGTCCGGGACATAACTCTAAACGTATAAGAGGTATCAACATAAAACTTTGTAGGTAGATAGATCCCATTGAGTAGGTGTACAGAGCACAAAAACCGTAACTCTGCCTTTCCTAATTTTTGAATTATTCCCCTTTGTTTATTTTTACACTTTGAAATTTGTCCAGGACATAACTCTAAAAGTATAAGAGGTATCAACATGAAACTTTGTAGGTAGATAGATCCCATTGAGTAGGTGTACAGAGCACAAAAACCGTAACTCTGCCTTTCCTAATTTTTGAATTATTCCCCTTTGTTTATTTTTACACTTTGAAGTTTGTCCGGGACATAACTCTAAAAGTATAAAAGGTATCAACATGAAACTTTGTAGGTAGATAGATCTCATTGAGTAGGTGTGCAGTGCACAAGAACCGTAACTTTGCCTTGCTTAATTTTTGAATAATCTCCCTTTTTTATTTTACACTTTGAAGTTTGTCCAGGACATAACTCTTAAAGTATAAGAGGTATCAACATGAAACTTTGTAGGTAGATAGATCACATTGAGTAAGTTTGCAGTGCATAAGAACTGTAACACTGTCTTGCCTTCTTTTGGAGTTATTGCCCTTTGTTCATTTTGACACTTTGAACTTTGTCCGGGATATTACTCTAAAATTATAAGAGATATCAACATGAAACTTTGTAGATAGATAGGTCTCATTGGATGGAAGTGGAGTGCTTAAGAATCATTACTCTGCCTTGCATTATTTTGAAGTAATTGCCCTTTGTTTATTTTTACTTTTTGACTTTTGTCCGTGACATCACTTTAAAACTATTAGAGATATCAACATGAAACTTTGTAGGTAGCTAGATATAATTGGATAGAACTGCAATGCTTAAAGAACCTAAACAAAGCCTGGTCTAATTTTGGAGTTATTGCCCTTTGTTCATTTTTACACTTTGAATTTTACCCGGGACATAACTCTGATATCATCAGTAAACTTTATAGATAGATAGATTGAATAGAAGTGCAGTGCAAAAAAACATAACTCCGCTTTGCCTAATTTTGGA